CAGAGTTTTACTGATCTAAAAACCAAAAATAATAACATTAATAACAGGTTAAAATAATGGAAATTGTTTGGAATATAATAAATAAGATCTTGTGTTTGTCGTGTTGAATAAGGCTGTTTTGGATCATATGCATAACAATAAAGTATCCAAAACGCTGTGAAACCTTTATTAAATACAATCTTATATTACAAAATACGTTAAAAATAACAAGTATGCGAGATAGATCACACAAATATATTTAATACTTTTATAAAATAAATAAATTAAATTAATAATATATATTTATATATAAAATCAAATTTTTAATGATATTGTTGATATTTTTTAATTTAAATAATAATTAACTGTTATTTAGTATTTAATATTATTAAATACCAATTATATAATTTATATTTTTTAAAAATATAGTAAATTTTATTTTGTCAAATGTTTAATAATAAAGTCAAAATATAAATTTGTGTTAAAATATATATAAATTAATCATAACAATGTTTTATCAATTTAAATATTTGTATGTTTTTCATTTTTTACTTAAAAAATATTTTATTCATAAAATACTTTGACGTATTTTATGTTGTGTATTGAAATTTGAAAACAGCCCGTTATAATCCACAAAAACAAAGCAAAAAATTAAACATTTTTTATATTGGACGTTTTTATTAAAAAATAATCATTTTTGGCACAAAAATTTTTTTCTCGTCTTAAATTTTGAAAAAAATTTTCCTTGAACCCTGTGTATGAATCTCTATGTTTTGTCTTTGTGTGACTCGTGTGTTGTTGTTTTGCTTCGTTCGTAAACTTAACTTTTTTAATTTGAGAAAAAGCAATTATGTTATAAAACAAAGACTTGTTATTGATGTACTTTGATTGTTGCTTTTTGAATGAAATATATCAAATGAAATTTGGGGCGAGAAATATATTTATTTACATTGTTATGATAGAACAAATATTTTTTGCTTTTTTTATTGTTCAAAAACAATGTCCGAGTAAATTATACAGCAGCACAATAAAAATTTTTATATGAATATTAATAATTACTAAAATCATTTAAATATTGTTTTTGAAGAACGTGTGTTTGTTATTACATATTAGTTAAGGTTTTACTTGGTTTAATCTCTTTCATATTAATCTTGTTATTTTAAACGTTTTTATTTAAAAATAAATTAATTTAATTGCTGAGTTGGAAAACATGAATACTTTTTGGTGTATATGTTTGGCCATTAATGAGATCTCCACTTTGTGCAGTGTATCTAGTCGGGGTACATTTATTATATTTTGAACCACACTTGCCAACATCAATATCACTATTTTTAGTTGTGTCATTGTTTCCAAATGCAAAAAGATAAGAATTGTTTGTTAAACAAGAAATGAAAGCGTTGTCAGCTTGTCCTTCTTTTAACAAAAAAATCTTTGGGTTTAACTCTCCATTTCGCACAAGTGAAAATATGAATGAAGTGTCGCCTTTCAACCAATACCCACTTTTATCAACTTTGCCATAGTAAACCCCTCCAAATTTGTTCTTTTTATCGTCTTCAATCAAAAACAGAAGATCACCTTTTCCTTTTATTTTGTCATCAAATACAGACGTGTCTTTGCTCCAGTCATCTTCAAATGAGTTAAACACAATATTGGAAATTTTCTTCTTTGTAATTTCCTCAAGTTTTTGACGTTCGCCGTTTTCAAGACCAAAATTGAAATTTTGTTCCATTTCTCTTTGTACGTTTTTAATATTTTCTAACTCTTCGATTTTATTTGTTTTGTTTTTTTTATTTTTGAAAGTTCATTTTTAAAGTCTTCTTCAAGTTTTTTCTTTTTAATTTCGTAGTCTTCCATGTAAAGTGCATTTAACTTCTTTATTGAATTGTCCAATTCTATTTCGTATGTTGGTATCTCTTTAATGTGTTGTTCAGTTATTGCTGATAATAACAAAACATCTTGCAGAAGTGACTGCCACTCCTTTTTTAAAAGTAATCCTCTCTGATAATCTTCATCGAATATTTCAAATTCCTTTTCAGCTTCTTTTATTTGCTCTTGAATGGGTAATTCTTTTTGCTCTTCAACTTTTTTAATTAATTCTTTTGGGTTTTCTTTTGGGTTATCAAAGAGCTTGGTGATCAGAGTTGTTAAATTTTTAATTTGCGTTTTTACTTCTTCCATCCTTTCAGTTGAACTTGTGTTTATTAGTTGAAAATAACCTCATAAATTATAATCAAATGAATGGATTAACTTTGAAATGAAGTGGATCTATTAATATATTATAAATTATAATAACTACTAACTAGTTATAAGAATTAATATTTTTATTATAAAATTATTATATTATAGTTTTAATAACAAAACATAAACATTTTGAAATGGAAAAAAACATTTAATAATATTAACTGTATTATTTAAAGTAATTTAAATTTTATTTTGTTTTAATACATTAATTTTGACATTAAAACCAAACACCAATTCGCCGTTATAAGAACTTGTAATGCAATAATTCGAGAAATGGACGACTTGATTGAATTGAACAACACTCTGTCGTATTATATTGACAAAAATGAACTTATAACTGGTGAAGTGCTTGATTATATTCTCAAAAAATTCAAAGCAGAAATTCGGAGTGATATAGATCGTCTTTTTACTAATTCAAATTCCATAACAACTTTTATTACCAAAGAAACTACCGACGACAATTTTGGGTCACAAAAAATGGACTTTTTACCAAGTAAAATCGACACAAAGGAAACAAAAGAAGAAAAACCCTTGCTTTCAAAAACGACACCACCAGACGTTAACAATTCCCAAAACTCCATTTTTATATCACAACAACAAAAAGAGGGAAAATTAAGACCAAAAAGTAACAGTCTGTCTCCATCATTGCCTGTCAAGGTCTATCCCGTCTTACCCAATTTTGCAAATAACAAGAAGTATATTGACAAGATCTCTCCGCCCTTAGTATTCCCAAGTAAAACAAGAGAAATTAAAAACAATTTCAATAAAGTGTCATATCCATCACACTCTCCGCCTTCTCACAACAAACTTGAAATTAGAGAAATTCCAAAAACGACACGTGGCGACGAGAAACAGACTCAAAAATGTCTATAGAAAATGGCACAAAAAGGTTAAATCTTCTCAACGAAAATTTTGAGCAAAAAAAGTCGCCGAGTTTTCAACATCCTCAAAAGTCGATTTTACACCGATGTCGACTTTCTGTTGATTGAAAATTGTCGAGCAGACTTTTACAAGTGGATTTCATGTGCGAAGTTTGAGGTCTTATATGACAGCGAGAGGCCGATTCCGATTACTAAAAGTTGTTCGCAAGACTTTTTCGAGAAGGTCCATAACATTCCAAATGCGCGTTCTTTGTGTTTTGTGACGAATGTGTGTTTGGGTTTTACATCGAAAGTCAGACGTTGTATTTGTCGCCACTCGACTTCTTGTTTGGAGTCAAAGCGACTGCGAGGAGTGTCAATAAACGGCCAAATCGATTTTTTGTGCCTCAAATTTCTCAAAATGTTATGTTCACACTCTTCGGGGAGAAGCAAAATCGAAGCGAAAGAGGAAGAGACTTGTTTGCGCTTGAAGTGGGGTATAAAAATGTTTTAAGTGTGAGACAAAAGGAGGACAAGTCATTCCAAAGAGAAATCGGAAAACATTTTGTCGACAGGGCAAAACGAGTGAACCTCGAAAGCTTCTTGCCAAGTACATGGGATTTCGTGGTAAGAAGAGTCATATGTATCACATTAAAATAAATCATTTTTTAAAATATTTACTATTTGTATTTTTATGGTTTTGTTTGTTTATTGTAACACAAGAACAATAGAACTGATCTTACTTGGACGACCATAGAATGATTTATTGATTCATTTCAATAGTACAAATTTGGTTTATTTATGTATAATTTTTATTGATTATAAAACTTTCTATCGTTTATTTTTTTATTTTATTAAATATCACCAACACATTATAAAAATAATATGAAATATGTGAATAAAGTTAATTGTTAATGATTTGAAAAAATAGTAGCAGCTAATCACATGATACAATTGAAATATCAAATACATTATGTAAATGCTATATTGAATTGTATTATTATTCCATTTTAACATAACTTTATTAAAAATTATTTTGTCTATTATTTTGTGTTAATAAAATATATTTAATTAAGTTAAAAACATATTTTTTTTATTTTAATGTTTATTCCATTTTATAAAGTTAAACCAATACAATATGATTTATTTTTTTATAAAATTTTTATGTTAAAATTATCTATCAGTAAATAACAAAAAACAACAAATGGACAAAAGTTGTTTAAAGTTGCATATCTAAGTGATGCTGCGTATGTTAAAACACAGATATTTAATCAGTTGTATAATATACCTTTTAGTGAAGACTATGACCCGACAATAGAAGATTCATACAAATTCGTCTTGAACGACAAATTTAAAACAGAAGTGACAATACATGACACTACTGGTCAAACTGATAACGATGCGCTGCTTGACGTTTATATTCAAATAGCCGAATGCGCATTCATTTTTTGCATTGAACTACGAAGAACAACAAAAGATTGCACAAGAAAAGTTTGTTGGGAGAATTCCAAAGTACAAAAAAGTATTTTAATTGTTGTTGTGGGAACAAAATCTGATATGAGAGAATACAAAGACGAATTAATTCGACTAAAACAAATGATAAGAAAAATTATTGAAACGGAAGAAGCTATTAAATTTGCACAAAGTATTGGAGCAGTGGGATACTCTGAGTGCTCTGCAAAAACTAAATTTAATATTAATTTGGTTTTGCAAACTATTAGTAAAATTATAAAGATGGAGAAAGGATATTAATATTATTAAAGGCATTAATTTAACATTTTATTTGTTTTAAATTATAATATGAAATATCAATTAACACGTATTGTATTTAAAATAAAGTAAAATTTATAATTACATTCAAAACAATATAATATAAAAAATTTTAAACTTAATTAATCAAAAAAATAATTGTATTAATTTGCTTAATTCATTGATTATTTTTTATTATTGACTATCTTTATTTGAAAATAAAAACAAATAAATGAACAATGTATTCAATCAATAATATCCAAGCGACTCTTTCTTTCTTTTTTTTTATCACTTTGATTTTTAACACTCTCTGTATTACTCTGAATCTTATTTATAATATAATAATATTATAAATAGAAGCGCTTGCACCTCTATAGTTTGTTGCTTAGACTGTTTTTTTCCATGCCGTACAATCGCTCTTTATTTATTTTCTTTTCTTTTTTAATCGATTCCGCAGTCTAATTTTATTTATACAACAAAGAAAGACTCTTTCTAAAAGAGTCACTTTGGCATTTAGTGTGTTCGTGGAATATATATCAATTGAATACATTGTTTGCTGACCCAGTTGAGTCGGCTTTTCTTTCTTAAATGCTGAGTGTTAATACATTACATGTTTAAATAAGAAGAAACAACCCATATTTACATTATTCTAATGGTTTATTGATCAAATGAAGGAGGCGCTTCGTTTGCATTTTGGTATAAATTAGATAAAAAGATTGATGTTAAGGTTTTTATCATAACGCCTCAGACTTTTTTGAAATGTAATTTTGAATTAAGTCGCCAATTTTATATAATTGAGAATATAACACATCAATTGCATTATTTTTATCAAATGTAAAAACATAGCTTTTTGTTGTTTTTTATTGTCTCTTTAATGATGACAGTTGTTGATATTTGATATATGATATTTTGTTTGCTTTAATATGTTTGTTGTTACTAATATGACAGCGAGTATCAATCAGAAGCTTTTAATATAAAAGCTTTGATTGTTTGGCATAACCCCATTTGTTAAATATTCAATAGTCAGTAATAAATAACGATGTAATCGACTTAGATTCACCACATTTAATTGTTGTGTTTGATTATCTAATTCTTGCTTTTTAAATTGGTTTTTACTATTTTTATATCATTTTTTAATTAAAATAATAATCTATTAATACAATGTTGAAATACATACAAATTGGATCTTTGTTTGATATTTCTTGACTTCTTTGTTGGTTTTGTAGTGTATTCAAGGGGTGTCATTTGTTTTATTTGATTTTTTGGTTAAAGTATACAATTATAAACTAAAATGTATTGTGTGAGAGGGTGACATTTTGCCAAACGATATTTTACTAAAAATTATTAAGAACTTTCTTAATTATTCTTTAACAAAGAAAATTTTAAAAATAATTCATTGTTGTATTTTTGTCAAGCTTTTATAAAAATATATTTTTGTCGACAATAAATAAATTGTAAATTGTATGAATAAATATATTTATATATTATTACAACTCTGCGTATTTTGTTTTTATTTTACGCTATTAAATCTTATTAAATAGAAATATTACTTGAACCAGTAACTTTGGTTATACATACAATATTTTGAGTATTTTTTTAAAGCAACAAATAAAAATATACAACTTAATGTTCGTGTAAATTCACACATTGTATTATTGGAAAAGTCTTATAAGTATTATTTCTGTTTAAACAAAAATACTTGATTCAATTAATCAAACAATTTATAAACAATTGTTATCAAATTTATAAATAATATAATATTTAATTAGTTAGTATATAATTTAATGATGTAATTTTCAAAAGTGAATTTATAATGAATTTTGTTTAAATAACCATTTGTATTCAAAAATTTATTTTTAACATGTTTTATGTAAAAATATACCAAATTTAAAGTTCTTTATTGTGTTTATATGATGTCATTTGAATTACTTCGGCTCTATTATAATCACTACAACCCGAATTATTAAAATTGAATTATCATTTTATTAACTTTTATTAACTTTATTTCATTAAAATATTAAAAAAATAATCGTTTATTTTTCATTTATGTATTTATATTACTTCATTGGTTTTGTATTTTTAATTATAAATACAACATCAAAACTAATATATAACAAGAATGAGCATCAAAAGCACAAGGGGAAAAGAATTGCCTATTTATGATGGTTATTTGTTTCATGCCATAGACAAAGAAAGAACACACTTTCGCTGCTCTTGTCGAAAGTGTAAAGTGACTATAATAAAAAACACAGATGGTAGTTATCATTATGGCAAAACAACAACTCACATTCACGAAAAACAAGATTTACGCAGAAAAAATCATTTAAATTTTATCAAAAATGACTTACAAACTTCACCAACAAAAAAATTAACAATGAAATCAGTTATAACAAAATACAAAAGAGGTTCTATAGGAATAACACAATCAACATTAGAACGCTTTGTTCAAAGAAACAAAGTTCACAAATATGAACCAAATTCATATGATGATATTATAATAAGTGTTGGCGACTTCAATTTATTATTCAAAGATGAGCAAAATGGAATACTTATATTTGGAAATAGCCAACAATTGACAATGTTAGCAAGATGCAAAGAAGTGTTTATGGATGGGACTTTCCGGAGTTGCCCCAAACAATTTTATCAGCTATATTCACTGCATTGTCAATTACAAAACAACCAAACATTTCCAGCAATTCACTGTTTGTTAAAAAACAAAACTTCAAATACATATGAAACACTTTTTAATGCCATTGAATGCTTGCTTAAAGAAATCAACGAAAATTATACTTGTTTTGGAAGAAACGTTGTTGTTGTGACTGACTTCGAAAATTCGCTTATCACCGTTTTAAGAAAATACAAAACTTTTGGTCTAGAGCACAAAGAATGCCTTTTTCATCAACGTCAAGCCATACGAAAGTTTATCAATAATGCCGGACTTAAATGTGAGTATTCTTTAAATACAGAATTCAAAGCTGCGGTGAAAATATTAGAGTCCGTGTGCTTTTTGAAAGAAGAAGATATTATTTAAACAGTTGGTATTTTAACGGAGTGGTATTCTCATATACCTTCATTTGGGATAGTTGTGGAATACTTCAAAAAAGTGTGGATAAATGGCGCGTTTCCCATTTCATTGTGGTGTCAATTTATGAGAAAAAAGAGGACTAATAATGATTGTGAGTCTTACCACGCCGCGCTCACCAGGAGGCTTGAGTTCGTGAAACCTGGTTTCTGGAAGTTCGTTAAAAAAATCGGAGAAGTGATAGAAGATGTTAATAAAGATCTAAAAAACATGAAAAACGGACATTATAAAAAATCAAACAGTAAAGTTGAAATAATATATAATACACTTAAAAATTTAACAACAAATTATTACTGTGGTGAAATCAAATTAAATTGTTTTCTCGAAAAGGTAAGTGTGTTATTTGATGGCTTAAATCATGAAGTTTACTTCGAAGTCGAAAATTGTGAACAAAACGAGACGTAAAATGTTACAAAAGAAAATTGTGTAGATTGTATCAATGAAAATGTTGTTGATATAAACACTTCAACAAATGGTGATATGTTTGAAAGTAAAGACTTTATCCAACAAACAAGACTTGAAAATAAAAATCCAACTAAAATTGTTGATATTCAAAATACAAAGAAAAAATTATACGTGAAAAAAAGCCAAGAAAAAAAAAGAAGATCTGTAATCCAAGAAATCAAAAAAGAGTGTAGAAAAAACAAAAAATTAATTAAGTAATTTATTTTTTTTAATATTTTAATGAAATAAAGTTAATAAAAGTTAATAAAATGATAATTCAATTTTAATAATTCGGGTTGTAGTGATTATAATAGAGCCGAAGTAATTCAAATGACATCATATAAACACAATAAAGAACTTTAAATTTGGTATATTTTTACATAAAACATGTTAAAAATAAATTTTTGAATACAAATGGTTATTTAAACAAAATTCATTATAAATTCACTTTTGAAAATTACATCATTAAATTATATACTAACTAATTAAATATTATATTATTTATAAATTTGATAACAATTGTTTATAAATTGTTTGATTAATTGAATCAAGTATTTTTGTTTAAACAGAAATAATACTTATAAGACTTTTCCAATAATACAATGTGTGAATTTACACGAACATTAAGTTGTATATTTTTATTTGTTGCTTTAAAAAAATACTCAAAATATTGTATGTATAACCAAAGTTACTGGTTCAAGTAATATTTCTATTTAATAAGATTTAATAGCGTAAAATAAAAACAAAATACGCAGAGTTGTAATAATATATAAATATATTTATTCATACAATTTACAATTTATTTATTGTCGACAAAAATATATTTTTATAAAAGCTTGACAAAAATACAACAATGAATTATTTTTAAAATTTTCTTTGTTAAAGAATAATTAAGAAAGTTCTTAATAATTTTTAGTAAAATATCGTTTGGCAAAATGTCGTCATCCCGTATTGTGTATGATTTTATTTTACAAAATATATCGATACAACATTACAGTGTCTCTGTTTCCATTGGTATCAAATTGTCAGAATTGTAATTTTATATGAATATAATAATCATATTATTATATTATCATATTAGAATGCATTTTTCAAGTTTAAATAAAAGGTATTATAAAATTAAAATAAAATTTGTTTTGTTAAAGATTATTTGTATTAAAAATATTGTTGTTAGTATTGTATGTTTTATTTTTGTAATTAATAATATTTTTATTTTTAATTAATTTTACCATCAAAAGCTATATTTTTATCTATTATATAATAACCACAATTTTTTGTAATTTTAAAATAAAAAGTAAATGTTATTCGAAAAGTCAAGAAAAAATATAAAATTGTCTATCAAAAAAAATACAACAAAAATTTTTTAATATTCAGAATATAAACTGTTTTTCAAAAGTCGGTACCGAAAGGACCCGACTTTTTGAAGTAAATGATTCCAAATATTTTTCATTTTGTTTGACATCGTTTTTTTGCTTAT